TGGGTCAGGATATGTAGGGGGCATCATCTATGCATGGGCTGGGTCAGGGTATGTTGATGGTGCCACCTGTGCAGGTGCTGGGTGAAGGTGTGCACGTGGTGCTATCGGTGCTGGGTCAGGATATGTAGGGGGCATCATCGGTGAAGGGTGCTGGTAAAGGTGTGCAGGGGGTGCCATTGGTGCTGGGTCCGGGTATGTAGGGGGCATCATCGGTGAAGGGTGCTGGTAAAGGTGTGCAGGGGGTGCCATTGGTGCTGGGTCCGGGTATGTAGGGGGCATCATCGGTGAAGGGTGCTGGTAAAGGTGTGCAGGGGGTGCCATTGGTGCTGGGTCCGGGTATGTAGGGGGCATCATCGGTGAAGGGTGCTGGGCCAAAGTATATCAAAAACAAAATATATTTTTTTGCCATTTTGAATAAAGTAGGGGGAGGGGTAAAACCCGTGTCGTTTTCTTTTTTGGGGGGTGGGGGTAGATTTCACTTCACTTCCTGTCCAGAACACCCAACAGGAAAAGAGAGGAAATCTCGTCAAAGTAAAGACAATCCCCTCTTAAGCAAGTTGTCACCAGAACAGGTGTCACCAGAACAGGTGTCCCCATTGGAGGACTTTCCCGCTCTATTCCCGTTCTGGTGACAACTCAAAGTTTTGGATTTCCCCCTTTGTATCGCCGTGACACCAGGACAAATAGAGGGTGACTCTCCCCAGCGGTGACACCGACAATCAATCCCCCGCCACTCCATCCAAAATTACAACAATATGGCTTTAGATACAAGTGCAGAATGAACGAGGTGCAGGGAAGTCTTTGCAGAAATAAGGGCAGGTTGCCCGCAGTTCCAGTGCATTCCAGACCAGACAAACTGAGACACGCAGTATTTTTCATGTCTGGTCTGCAAGGGACAGCGCTGGTGTGAAGAGAGGCCAGAAATACCATAGGCAGGCCCGGATTCCCCACAAGGCCACCGAGGCCCGGCCTCGGGGCGGCAGGGATACATTTTGGGTCTGGAGGTGATCTGGATGTGGGGTGAATGAGCCCTAAATCAGAATCTGAAAATGTCACTAAAATCCGGGAGAAAAGCAGACAAACGACAGATAAATTATTTATTTCACGCTGTACATTCCCATCTCAACAACAAGATAATTCTTCTAGACAAAATACCCCAAACCTATACTGTGCGCCCCCCCGTACCACCGGGGGTACAAAGCGATGATTCTTCCCGTCCTCTGCGGAGTCTGGAAACGATTTCACTCCGCAACAATGTATCCAATCTCTGGAAGTGTAACATTGTTCTTCATAGACATCGATCTTGGGGATTAATAGGGATCCGGTGAAAGTGCAAAGCGGGGGAACCGGCGCTGAAAATTGCTGCAACTTTCTGCTCTGAACTTTAGACACGGCGGGAAAAAAAACAACAGGAAATTGTGTGAAATCTGCGGGACGCACGCGGCGGGTTCTGTCGCCGAGACGCCCGGAAGAGGAACTTCCTCCAACGTTACGCAGAACAGGAAGTGATTCCTTCCACTTTATGACCTGGACCAATGGCAGACTATCCCGGGGGCGGGCAACCTCGGCACTCCAGCTGTTGTGGAACTACAAGTCCCATCAGGCATTGCAAGACTGCCAGCCACAAGCATGACTCCCAGAGCATGGGGGGGATTTGTAGTGCCGAGGTTGCCTACCCCAGGCCTCTCCAATTACCGCTGACATCATTTATCACTCAGTGACGTAAAACCATCTTTGGGGTCTGGGTGGGTGGAGCAAAACTCCTGTAAGATTTTCATTGCACGTGTGTAGTCACCTGGACAGGGGGTGAGGGGTCAGAGCAATAAAAACGTGACAGATCATCCGACCCTCCTCCCTCTATAAGGGAGCGGGGCGGTAAAAATGCCTCAGGGCAAGGGGAAAAAAATGGCCGCCGCTGCATTCTGTGTCCGGTATTAATAACATTCCCCCGTAACATAGTTTATTGCCTGTTGATCCCGCCAGTAGAGCCGATACTTTTCCACTTCCTGTAACAGGGTGACAACGCTGTTCATTCTGCAGTAAAATCTCAGCAGCGTTGTCACCCTGTGGGGGGGGGGGGGACCTTCCTCCTGACGCCCTCCCGAGCCGGTCCCGGGACGCAGATGGGGCAGCGGATCCCGGGATTAAAGGTGAGGGGTCAGGAGGAGGGAGATGGCGGCACTCGAGATTGGGGTGGGGTGGGGGGCGGCGCTCCGAAATGCACGCCATACAACCGATCGGCGGCTAGAGAGCCGCTGATCGGTTGTATGTGAAACAGCCGTTAACGGCTGTAGTAACGTGCGGGTCTTTCCTGCCCGTGCGCGCGCGACGGCAACCCGCGGATGCGAGTCTGCCGTCCGTCCGTTTTTTCTTAACGGGCGGACGGCAAGAGGTAGTGAAAATTAATTCATTTTTCCCTTTATGTCAGCGGGTGGGCAACTCTGTCCCCCCCAGCTGTGCTTTAACTATAAATCCCATCATGCCTCTGACTCTCGGAGTAATGGATGCGACTGTTAGTCTTGCAATGCCTCATGGGACTTGTAGTTCCACGACAGCTGGAGGGCTGAGGTTACCCACCCCCCGCTCTATGTCCTCCAATTCAAGTTGACCTATACCAAGGGTAGGCAACCTAGGCTCTCCAGCTGTGCTGAAACTGCAAATCCCATCATGCTTCCGCCTCTGGGAGTCATGCCTGTGGCTTGCAATGCCTCATGGGACTTGTAGTTCCACAACAGCTGGAGAGCCGAGGTTGCCCACCCCTGGTCTATACAGAATTTGTATCATTAACATTCGCTTTTCCATTGAGATTGCGGTCAGGGCGCGCGCATTGACCCGACGGAAAGGTCACATGACCCGGTCACATGGCGGGACCATATTGATGTAAAGCAGGGGTGGGGAACCTCCAGCCCTCCAGCTGTGGTGAGACTACAAATTCCATGAGGCATTGCAAGATTCTCACAGCCACCGACACGACTCCCGGAGAGAGAGATGCATCATGGGATTTGTAGCTTCACCACAGCTGGAGGGCCGGCGGTTCCCCACCCCTGATGCAAAGGGTTGCTGTGCTGCCTCAGAAGCTGCTGTCAGTCAAAGCCTTTGGAGGCGGAGCATGGGGAGTGGCCTGAGATGCCAGGCCCCAGGGCCGCCTGTGTGTGTCTGCACATGGAGCGTCAGCATGTCAGGTGTAGTCCCAGCCAGGAGCGTGCACATTGGGGTGGCAACGCTGGGGCTCCAGGGGTCCCTGCAAGGCAGCGTAGCCACCCCCACAGGCATAAAACATTTGATGGGAGCGCTGTGCAGGAAATGACGGCCGGCACAGACAACGAGCACGGAAGAATGCAGGTGAGGCGCGCTGATTGATTGATTTTTCCTAATGAAGGTTTCGTAACACTTCAAGCCATGTGACTAAAATCTGTTATAAGCTCCTCCCCCCCCTGCAGTGATATATGGTTCGCCCCAACTCCTGGAACTGTCACTCATCTGGACATCTTGTCCCGGTACAGGAAGGAGGAAAATACCCGATTGGCTGGCAGGATAAACGAGTAATAGAGCCGGCCCCGTAACATGCGTCACCTGGAGGAACCGGAAAACACAAAAACTGACAGGCTGCAGCAGACGAGCCATTTTATTTTGCCCGGAGTTCCGCTTTCAGCCCGCGTTTGCCGGTTCTGCCGCCCAGCCGCGTCCCGGCGCGTCCTCTGCCGTTTCCAAGGTTCAGACTCGGCAGACTTCTCATAAATTAAAGCAATATACCACATAAAAAACACACAAAACATCAATAAATATCACACCAATCTTCCAGTTCTCGGCTACTAAGATTTCCAGTTATGATGGCACCGCGGACTGTGTTGGCGCGATCGCTCATGGCTGTCCTCCGTCACGTAGATGTCTGAGGCCCCTCCCACTTGTGGTCCTCTCGGAGGGTGAAGTCACAGTGAATTACAGTCGCAGCATAAAATGAAACAACGCAGGCGTTCAAAGAGCACCTGTCATCATGACACGCACGCACACACAGGGGGCAGCCATTTGTAGACTCAGAAAAACAATCATATAAATAATCTGACATTTCAACGCATTCAGAACACGAGACGAAACGCGGCGGTGTGCGCCTCGCGGCTCAGTGGCGTTACAGATTACGACTGCAGTGACCGGCCGAGCTCTGGTCTGATGCCAAGCTGGGTGACGGGTACACGACGACGTCTCGGCCTGGCTCGGGTGGAGTCACCAAGAGCGCCCCCCCGGGAGGGGTGCACGCTTCATAGTCAGGATACAAGGAAGCCGAGGGGTTCAGGACATAAATAGACGTGACTTCCTCTTCCTGGTCTGCGATGACAACGATGTGCAGGTCCATGTTTCCTGTGCAGTGTTGTCACCAATTTACGTACGCTCAGTCTAATGTAAAAAAAAAAATCAGGCTGCGTCTATGGCTTACTCCACAGGTCATGTGACCACCTTGCCTGTTCTCGGTTGGTGAGCAGAACCAACCCGCACCACGTCACGTGTCATCCCTGACATCGGCGCGCGTCCCCCCGTCTACCCTGCGGTCAACGGTAACGGCGGCGAGGGTCTCCGGAGAAGCCGCTACCTATGAAAGGTATACATCTATATTCCCCTCCCCCGCAGTGACCACCCCACTGTACAATATTACAGGTGACTACAGACATCTGAGCAGAGAGACAGACAGGCGGCGATTTTTGTCCATTGGTCGCACAGTGATGTCTCCGATCTCATCACATCGAATCGTTCGGGACACACCCGGAGTCATTTTAACAGTCGTGCCTCCTGACCCTCGGGTTCGGCAGACGGTCCCGTCCGACAATAGACTCCACCAATCACATAGCAGCACGTCGGGATACAAACTCTTTGGGCCCCGCAGTCGCAGGAATTGCAGCACCAAACGAGTTCAGTACAAAAGAGGGAAATAAAAAGGATTCCGCCATCTTGATCCGTTCTGATGAGATGCTGCGAGTGGCAACAACGGATGAGCGTCCCAGTCTTCAGCAGGAAAGAGCGCCAAGACTTCATGTCCCCATGGCGTTGCGTTTCGCAATGATGCTCTTGGCGTTGGGCAGCGGCCGGGCGTCGTTCTGGTGGCTCCGCCTCTCGATGAAGGTGGCCAGTCGCGTGGTGTCTAGGGGGATTTTGGAATAATTGCTATAGTGAGGCTGGAGCCAGGGGTGGAGCAGGCAGGTGGCCACGGTGGGCCTCCAGCGGGCGTCCATTTGCAGCGCGGCCCGGATGAAGTCCTGGGCGGCTTGGCTGACGCTGGTGAAGTACTCCAGCGGGAAGGAGAAGTCCACCCGGCAGATGTTCATACAGGTCTCCTCGCTGCTCTCGTCCAGGAAAGGCGACACCCCGCTCAGCATGACGTACGTCAGGACGCCCAGGCTCCAGATGTCGGTCGCCAGGGAAACCGGCGTGCCTTTGATCACCTCCGGAGCGGCGAATTCCGCGCTCCCCAGGAGCTGGTGGATGTAATAGTGACCAGTAATCCGCATGGCGTCTTCCAGGTCGATGATCTTCACCCGCGGCACCGGGATACGGAGATCGATCAGAAGGTTCTCAGGCTGGAGGAGGAAAAAGAATCCAAAACTCAAATGAGAACGGTCGGGTCCCAAACAACACAAATCGCTTTTACAGAAGAAAATCCCTCCCGGCCCCCCTAGAGGAGGCCAGATACATTCCCGCATCAGCCTTCTAATATATAATTCTTGGTCTATATGGGTTGGACTTGATGGACGTACGGTATGTCTTTATTCAACCCCAAATACTATGTAACTATGTAACTATATCACTTATAATTTGTTCCTTTAGGAAAGACTAAAATATTACCGCGGCGCGCGTTACAAGCGGCTCACCTTGAGGTCTAAGTGGGCGACGCGGCAGCCGTGCAGATACTGGAGGGCCCCCAGGATGTCCCGCATGTAGAAGGCCACCTTCTCCTCCATCAGCTCGTCGTGCTTCATGAGATAATCCAGCAAGCGGCCGTCATCCACCCTGAAAGAGATCGGGATCATGTGATCACTGCAGAGATCGGAATCATGTGATCACTGCAGAGATCGGAATCATGTGATCACTGCATAGCGGCCTAGAATAGGGTTCAACGGGCACTGCCCCCGGGAAGGTGATGGAGCCCCATCTCTGACCCCAGGAGGGGATGGGGGGGGGCGGGGCAATATAAGGTGGAGATCCTCTTTTATTCATTTATTGTTTTCATGAGAATAAAATACAATATATAAAGTGTCCGGCTTTCAGGAGTTATTGATTGTCTTTTATAATTAAGGAGAATATAATAATAATACGTCGTTCATATATCTGATCATGTGCGGCACAATGCGGGATGGATCCTGTAGATTATAGACACATTATTACACACCAAAGCGGTCAGACATAATTGAGTCTCGCTATTCAAAGGACGGGTGACTCCGGTGTAACTATATACAGTAGGGATGCACCGATACTAGTATCCGTATTGGTGCCGATACCGCGTATTTGGGCGAGTACCGGTACTTGCCCAATCGCTCCCGATGCCGAGCCCGCTACCTGAACTTCCGGGGATCAGTAAGCCGGGTGGTGAGTCATGTCACGCTGCCCAGCTTCCTGATTGGCCGGTGAAGCCAGCTCCATGCTCATTCATCACGTGACGAGGGAGCATGGAGACGGCTTCCCGGCCAATCAGGAAGCCAGGCGGCGAGTCATTACATGCAGCCCGGCTTTCCGATTGGGAATTCCGGGATCGGTGTTGGTGCGTACCGGAAAAATAAATATCGGTACTTGTGCTCAATACTAAAAAAAAAACCGGTATGGGTGCATCGCTAATATACCGTATACTCCTATATACCGCCGTATACTGAGTCACAAGGATAGAGCTTCGGCACGGGTATTGCTGCAACTTCATCAGGCAGTTACAGACCGGATCAAAACTGCGTCCAATGTATTCCAATGGTATTTTGGGTTCTAGTTCACACCTCAGCGTTCAGAGCATGTAAAAAAAACTGCAGCAAGCCCTATTTTTTGCGTTTGCAGTGGAACGCAACGCTGGCAAAGTTTTGCAAATCGATGAACTGCAGACAGGAACAAGGAAAGGTGAGCCGTCAGATGTGGGCGATGTATCAATCGTCGGGGTTTTCCTGTTTGTTGATGATTTGTTACATTGTAGTCTTATGTGAAGATCATTTATATCTGTTCGTATTAAAGGAGAACTATGAGGGGGGGGGAGGGAGCTACAGCTCGCGGTATACTGAGACGCCGCCGCTGAAGCGGATCCCGACAATTATGTCTGGATCCGCCCAGCTGCGTGAGTGACGGCTGGCACTGCCTATCTAGAGGCAGAGCCAGCTGTACCCGCCCCCTCCCCCGTCCGATCCGCCAGTCAGCGCTGAAGGATCGGAGGGGGAAATTCAGCCCCTCCCATGTCACGGCAGAGAGTGTATGGCCGGCTTTAGAAGGTTCCACTAGACACAGTTCACCTTTCTGAAGGCATTATATGTAACGGGGGAAGGGTGAGACCTCCGGTCAGGTTTTACTGCCATCCGAGGCTCCGCTGGAGAGATTCCTTCACTTCCTGTCTGATAAAAAGTTTCTCCCAGGACAGGAAGTGAGGGGAAATCAGCAACACAGACAGAAAATGTAATCTGCGTATATTTTGCCTTCACTGGTCCCCCCCATCAACATGATTATAACATTTTTTAATTGCATGTTTCCGTTTTCACTTCATACATTATTTTATAAAGCCATGTAATCCATCCTGTGCTTCTCTATACAATGCAGGCAGACCATGGCTGGTGGGAGGGGCCAGCAGGGTGCTGTACACAGCTTCCTGAAAACATGACAGCGCCCTTCCTCAGCACTCCTCCCAAGAGCCCTCAGCTCTGATGCAAGCAGTAGGCGGGCTCTTGGGAGGAGTTATGCAAATATCAATATGCCTTGATGGATAGGTGTCAGTCTGGAGGAGTGGGCGGTCCCAGGCAGGATGTATTTACATGCAGACCACCGACATGTGACGCCGAGCCCCCATGATTGACAGAACTGAGCAGGCAGCGTGCTCCGTATATAACTCACATGTCTAGGACGAGGATATAGGAGTTCGCCGACTCGTAGGTGTCATGGAGGGTGAGGTACTGCGGGTGCTGCAGGTGTTGGAGCAGCGCTGCCTCGTGAGACGCCTGTTCGCGCTTCTTCAGCTTCTTGGTGACGAATTTCACGGCAACGTCCTTCCGCGTGTTCTTCTGCACACACTTCTTCACCACTGAATGGAGGAGTGGGCGGTCCTAAGCAGGATGTATTTGCATGCAGACCGCGCCCTGGGTAACGCCCACATGCAATGCTTAGCCTCCAATGAATGAAGAGAAGGTCGGAGTTCTGCTTCAATAATAATAGAGAATAGAACACGCAGTGTCCATGGTTACAATATATCTAAAAATAACTTAAAGGGGAACCCCGGGGAAATAAAAACAAAGCAAGTTGTTCTAAAATGGGGCAAAAACCTCTAAATACAACCAACAGACACTTCACCCATTTTCCTTTTTCACCCTCAAAACTGTGTGCCTGACACCCCCCATCCCCCCCCACTCCTGACAATTATTCACACAGAGCAGCACAAGCGTCCACTACATTAGGGAGGTTCAGATCATCCAAGTTGGTGACCACATGAGGGAGCTGGAAATCAAGATGTCTACCCAGTCCCGAGATTTACACTGCCCTGCCAGACAACAGAGCCTGGCGACCTGACTCTTCTCTTCTGCAGCTGCATTAGTACAGCCTGGTCACCTTCCCACCCTCAGCCTGCGATTGGACAGCAAAGAGCGACATCAGACAGATGAGTCTTCACTCCGCTCTCTCCTCCCGCCAGCATGTTCCCTGCCAGCACACTGCACACCTGATTGGCTGCTGGAAAAGCCCCTCCCTTTCCTGGTCACTGTGCTGCAGTGAAGGGGATTACCAGGGGCTCATACCGAGTCAAATTCAGGAATGTGATCTGGTTGTATGGAATGATTGGTAATACACACAGATCACATGGTTTGGTGCTGGTCTGCCGGAGTTCAGCTTCATGTTATTAAAAAAAAAAAAACGATCTTAGCGGAAGTGTCATTAAATGTAGAAGTGCGCACGGCGCGGCGTACCGTCCGATCTCCTGCTGCTCCACGTACATCTGGTCAAAGTTCTCCTTCCAGCATATGGTGGAGCCGTCAGTATTGGCATCTGTAGGGGAAGAAGAAAGGCGGTGACATGGAGGAGGATGGAGAATGGAGGATGATGGAGAATGGAGGATGGAGGATGTGGTTCCCCCTCCCCCCCACCCTCCTACACGCTGCGTATTAAAAAGTAAAAAAATATAAAAATAATTATAAAACATTATATAACAATAATAAGATAAAAAATAAAAAAGTAAACGATAAAGATAAATAAAAATTTTAAAAAGTAAGAAATAAAAGAAAGTGATAATAAAAGTTAAAAAATAATAATAAAGAAACAATAAAACAAAAATTAAAGCTAACCCTGCCGCCCGTGTTCGGTTGCCATTCTTCATTGATGGGGGGGTGGCGGGTAGGGGGGCGCATTGCGGGACCTGGCCTTGGGGCGGCGGGGAGAGTAAATCCGGCCCTCCTGCACATACACAGAAAATCCTCCACCATGTGAAGCTTTACTGGACAGAAGATTGGTGAATAAATGTACGAGCTCTTCTGATGGTTGATCCATCCACAACTTCATGGAGCTCACAGAGTTCAGGCAGCCGGCAGTCCCGGCATCTAGCGCTGAGCACGCCGGTATCGGAGGGTCCGGGACGGAGTCCCAGCTTACCGTTCTCAGGCAGCCGCAGTGGTTCTGACGCTTCGCTGGGCAGGCTGATGCCCCAGGGGTTGCTGGCGCTGACTCTGAACTGGTAAGTTCCTCCGGGCCTCAGGTCCTCCAGCACAAGGTAAGTATCCAGTGTACAGGCCACCGACTGCTGCCAGATCAGTATGCTATTGATGTGTCCTCGGCATTCTAATGTATTTGTCATATCTCTTTTACTACATATTCATTTCCAGGGACAAATTCCCCCAATCTGGGACTATTTCCGGCCCCGCTAGCAGGTACGGAATATGCACAGAGTCCGTACCTTCGTCCTTGTACTCCACGGTGTATCCCGAGATGGTGCAGTTCC